CAATTTCCCAAAGATTCAAAAGGGCAATGTCACGTTTTATTCCACAAAATCATTCAGAAAAATCAAAAATGTCACAGCAAATGTACAACTTTAAAACTTTAAAACTTTTACAACAAAACCAACAGCAACAAGAAACAAGAAGCAGAAACACAAACGCCTCATAAACCCTCAGACAGGAAACCCCCACCAAACCCCTCCTGCACCTGTCCACCTGCCCTCCTGTCCACCTGCACCTGCCCCTGCACCTGCCTCCTGCACCTGCCAAACCTGTCCACCTGCCCCTGCCCTCCTGTCCACCTGCACCTGTCCACCTGCCAAACCTGTCCACCTGCACCTGCCAAACCTGTCCACCTGCACCTGTCCACCTGCACCTGTGCACCTGCCCTCCTGTACCTGCCCACCTGTCCTCCTGCACCTGTCCACCTGCCCCTCCCTGCCCCTGGAGCCCGCACCTGCCCACCTGCCCCTGCCCCTGGAGCCCGCACCTGTCCACCTGCCCCTCGCCCCTGGAGCCCGCACCTGTCCACCTGCCCCTGCGCCCCTGGAGCCCGCACCTGTCCACCTGCCCCTCGCCCTTGGAGCCCGCACCTGTCCACCTGCCCCTCGCCCCTGGAGCCCGCACCTGTCCACCTGCCCCTCGCCCCTGGAGCCCGCACCTGTCCACCTGCCCCTCGCCCCTGGAGCCCGCACCTGTCCACCTGCCCCTCGCCCCTGGAGCCCGCACCTGTCCACCTGCCCCTCGCCCCTGGAGCCCGCACCTGTCCACCTGCCCCTCGCCCCTGGAGCCCGCACCTGTCCACCTGCCCCTCGCCCCTGGAGCCCGCACCTGTCCACCTGCCCCTCGCCCCTGGACTGTGTCTTTTGTTGTTTGTTTGTGGCAGGTTAAACTCGTGTGATTGGTCCTGATCTCGTTAGATTGAGTTTCTTTTGCGCTGGGACACGTCCGGGTCTGAGTAAAAGTGAAAACGATTGTTTAACACTGTGGATTCTCCTGTCAGTCGTCACCTGACGGAGGGTTGTTTTTTTTTTTCTTTTTGGTCGTTCACAAACTCAGATATTGTGATAGTCCTGGTTTAATCTGAATTTAGTCCTGGTTTAGTCTGAATTTAGTCCTGGTTTAATCTGAATTTAGTCCTGGTTTAATCTGAATTTAGTCCTGGTTTAATCTGAATTTAGTCCTGGTTTATCTGAATTTAGTCCTGGTTTAGTCTGGTTTAGTCTGAATTTAGTCCTGGTTTAGTCTGAATTTAGTCTGGTTTAATTTGAATTTAGTCCTGGTTTAGTCTGAATTTCTGGTTTAATTGAATTTAGTCCTGGTTTAATCTGAATTTAGTCCTGGTTTAGTCTGAATTTAGTCTGGTTTACTGATTTAGTCCTGGTTTAGTCTGAATTTAGTCCTGGTTTAGTCTGAATTTAGTCCTGGTTTAATCTGAATTTAGTCCTGGTTTAATCTGAATTTAGTCCTGGTTTAATCTGAATTTAGTCCTGGTTTAATCTGAATTTAGTCCTGGTTTAGTCTGAATTTAGTCTGTTTAGTCTGTTTAGTCCTGGTTTAGTCTGATTTAGTCTGAGTCTGTTTAGTCCTGGTTTAAATCTGGTTTAATCTGTCCTGGTTTACAGACTGGTCAAAAACAGCGACACCTGGGACATTTCTTGTATAAAAATGGGATAAATCTAGAGTGTCCAGACATTCCTGTGTCTCTGTCCCCGTGTCTCTGTCCCAGCAGATTTACAAAGAACCACTGATTTGTTCCAGTGTCTCGACTTTGGACCAATCTGATCCTGCAACAGTAAAGAGACAAAAACTGACATTTGTTTGGGTAAAATACAGAAAATCTGATTCAAAAAATGACAAAACACAAAGAAAATGTGACGGTAGTGACTCATGTTAAAGCCGAGTGCACAACAGTTTTATTTACTTACGACTCGTTTCACTATTTTATTATTACAACCTAAATAAATCAGGGACGTCCCAGTTTTATGTTGAAATCTGCTCCTCCTGCCTTAAAATAAACACAACATAAACACAGACGGATCAGATCTCACAAGCAGAAAATGGAACGGCCCCGGGTTGGTCGTGGTTGGTCATAATTATTACAAACCATTTACAATAAAAACAAGAATCAAAATATCATGTCATATCATTGCAAGTCTCACAATAAAAATAAAATATCATGTTCCATCATAATTTATTAAAATGCAAAAGGTTTTTCCTTCAAAGTCTTAAACAGGGACGAGCATCGACCATGATCCTTTACTCCATAAGAACATAAAAACAGAACTGGTGTTAACAACTTTAATCTTATTTCTTTAGAGTTGGAGAAATGATTCACTCTGAAGACTCACGTGATTTAAAGAGAATTAAAAATAAAAAAAATAGCATATAGTGTATACAATTGTGGGCAAAACCTCTCCAGAACATCACAATAATAATCGTATCGTGAGAGGAGTTTCTTGATAATATTGTACTGTGAGATTTGGACACGTTACCTCTGTAATAATAATAAAACTGTGAAACGAGTGCATAAATAAAGATTAAACTGTTGTGCGAGTCAGTAGAGTGATTTTCTTTTGTATTTTCCATCATTTTCCCGAAACAAAAACCTAAAACAAAACAAAAACACTGGACACTGCACGTGTCTCTTCACTGCTGCAGGGACAGATTGGTCCAAAACAGAGACACCGGGACATTTCTGGATAAAACTGGGACAAATCAGTGGTTTTGTATAAATGTGCAGGGACAGGAGGACGCAGGGACAGGACTGGGACTGTCTCGGGGACACGGGGACGTCTGGTCACGCGTGTTTTGGAAACGCGCGCTCTTCAGGTGTAAGGCTAAAGCTAAAGCTAACAGTGCTAAGCCGAGACAGAGGCCGCAGAACCCGCACTCTAAACCCGCCTGTAAACCCGCCACAAACCCGCCTCTAAACCCGCACAAACCGCCTCTAAACCCGCCTGTAAACCCGCACAAACCCGCAAACCCGCCTGTAAACCCGCCTGTAAACCCGCACAAACCCGCCTGTAAACCCGCCTCTAAACCCGCACAAACCCGCCTCTAAACCCGCACAAACCCGCCTGTAAACCCGCTCCTGAGGCGCTCCCCCGCGGCCTGCTTCAGTGCACTCACCCTCGGCCTCCCCTGCTCCTCCCGCCCGTCCTCGGGGCTCGTCCGCGGGGCTCGGGGCTCTGCTCGCCGCGCTGTAATGGCGGCCTGTCCGTGCTAACCGCGGCTAACTCTGGCCCTAACCCTGGCCCGGGGACACTCACCGACAGTCCGCTGCAGAGCACCTATCTACCGGTCATAAACTGTCCTGCTGCTCCGGAGCGCGTCTCCGCAGAACCATGTTTTACTTTATTCTCTTTATTAGTTTGTTTGAGCCACACGCCGCGTCCATCTTCTGCCTCCCGATCTGCGCCACTGAAGCATGCTGGGAAACACGGCGCCGGCGTCGGGAGCGTCACCGCGCGGGGCATCATGGGACTCTGAGTTTCTGACAGTGATCAAAGACTCAGCCATGGATCTAGTCGAATAACACGTTTAATACTTACTAAATGTTAAAATAACGATTTAAATACCTACTAAATATTAAAATAACGATTTTAATACCTACTAAATATTAAAATAACGATTTTAATACCTACTAAATATTAAAATAACGATTTTAATACCTACTAAATGTTAAAATAACACATTTAATACCTACTAAATGTTAAAATAACACATTTAATACCTACTAAATGTTAAAATAACACATTTAATACCTACTAAATATTAAAATAACGATTTTAATACCTACTAAATGTTAAAATAACACTTTTAATACCTACTAAATGTTAAAATAACACGTTTAATACCTACTAAATGTTAAAATAACGATTTTAATACCTACTAAATATTAAAATAACGATTTTAATACCTACTAAATGTTAAAATAACACTTTTAATACCTACTAAATGTTAAAATAACACGTTTAATACCTATTGAATATTAAAATAACGATTTTAATACCTACTAAATGTTAAAATAACGATTTAAATACCTACTAAATATTAAAATAACGATTTTAATACCTACTAAATGTTAAAATAACGATTTTAATACCTACTAAATGTTAAAATAACACGTTTAATACCTATTTAATATTAAAATAACGTTTTTAATACTTACTAAATGTTAAAATAACGCTTTATTTCTGTAGCACATTTTACAAACAAAGCAGTTTCCAAAGTGCTGCACAGAAATCATAAATTGAAGACAACAAAAAAAAGTAAATCAAATAAAAACATTTGGTCAATATCAGTCCTAAAACAATAAAACCATCAAATCAAATAAAAGTAAAAACCATAAAATCATAAAATAGCAGTAAATAAGAGCCGCGCCTCCGCCGCGGATCCGTCAAAATAAGCCCGGATCCGCGGCGGAGGCGCGGCTGAACCGCTGCGGATCTCGCGGATCCGCCCAGGACCCGTTTTGGATCCGCTTTCAGAACCGGGTTATCTGCCCCGGATCTGCCGCGGATCTGTTTATTGTGTCGTTCGGAGCCTAAATATGTTTCAGATTTAATACTGATCCACTTCCTGCTGACCTAAAAACACCAGCAGCATTTGTGTTGTAATTGTACATAAAACTTTTACAGCAACTATTAAAACTAGGATATAAAGGCTTAAATTTAAAAACATAAACTTAAACAATGTCAGAGTTGGATCAGTGAAATCCTGTCACTAAATCTCATTAGTTAAGAAAAAAAGAAACTTTTTTTTTTTTTACATTGTAAACAATATTTATTTAAATCATTAATTATAAATCTTAGGACATGAATAATCATTATTAATGTTACAGGACTTATAAATATAAACCCTTTGAGTTAAACAATGCTTCATTCTTAATATGAAAATGACAATTTACAGTTTTTAGTAAAAATAGTTCAAGTTAAGCAAAGTTTTTTTTTTTTTTAAATGGCAAAAAACAAATCTAAGTTCTATGAGTAAAAGCCTGGACAGATGAGACAGAGTGTAGCCACAAACCAAACTGTTTAAAACTCAAACTGAACCTGTGTTTCCACCACAGAACAATTACACACATGGTTGTTCTTCTAGACTGTGAAGTGTGGAGCTTCAGAGCCTCTGTCTTTAACTTCAGTCTGAACCAGATGTTTTGAGGCAGATGTTTTGAGGCAGATGTTTTGAGGCAGATGTTTTGAGGCAGATGTTTTGAGGCAGATGTTTTGAGGCGGATGTTTTGAGGCAGATGTTTTGAGGCAGATGTTTGAGGCAGATGTTTTTGAGGCAGATGTTTTGAGGCAGATGTTTTGAGGCAGAGAGATGTTTTGAGGCAGATGTTTTGAGGCAGATGTTTTGAGGCAGATGTTTTGAGGCAGATGTTTTGAGGCGGATGTTTGAGGCGGATGTTTTGAGGTTTTGAGGCGGATGTTTTGAGGCAGATGTTTTGAGGCAGATGTTTTGAGGCAGATGTTTTGAGGCAGATGTTTTGAGGCAGATGTTTTGAGGCAGATGTTTTGAGGCAGATGTTTTGAGGCAGATGTTTTGAGGCAGATGTTTTGAGGCAGATGTTTTGAGGCAGATGTTTTGTGGCAGATGTTTTGAGGCAGATGTTTTGAGGCAGATGTTTTGAGGCAGATGTTTTCAGGCAGATGTTTTGAGGCAGATGTTTTGAGGTGTTTGAGGCAGATGTTTTGAGGCAGATGTTTTGAGGCAGATGTTTTGAGGCAGATGTTTTCAGGCAGATGTTTTCAGGCAGATGTTTTCAGGCAGATGTTTTCAGGCAGATGTTTTGAGGCAGATGTTTTGAGGCAGATGTTTTGAGGCAGATGTTTTGAGGCAGATGTTTTGAGGCAGATGTTTTGAGGCAGATGTTTTGAGGCAGATGTTTTGAGGCAGATGTTTTGAGGCAGATGTTTTGAGGCAGATGTTTTGAGGCAGATGTTTTGAGGCAGATGTTTTGAGGCAGATGTTTTCAGGCAGATGTTTTGAGGCAGATGTTGTGAGGCAGATGTTTTGAGGCAGATGTTTTGAGGCAGATGTTTTGAGGCAGATGTTTTGAGGCAGATGTTTTGAGGCAGATGTTTTGATGTTTGAGGCAGATGTTTTTTTGAGGCAGATGTTTTGAGGCAGATGTTTTGAGGCAGATGTTGGTGCAGTGAGTCTGGTTCCTCTTCAGTTCTTCTGGTGAAGATCCAGTCTGTCAGTGTTCAGCTCTGAGCTTCCCTTTTCTCACAGCATCTGAAATGACTCCAGTGAGAGTTAAACTCCTCATTACACCTCTTGTTCTTGTGAGGAGTGTGGGTTCAGGTTTGTGAAGAACATTGTAAGTCCTGACAGTGGCTGTGTGATGTGAACATGAAAGGTGAACACTTGATTGGAGAGATGCACTTACAGAGGGTCAGTCTGTAAACTCCACCACAGCAGCTTCTGAAAGAAACAATCTGCACAACAACAGCTGTGATTATAATGTGCACATGTTTAGTTCTGAAAGTGAATAAAAGTAGGTTAATACAGTAAACTTACACAGAGTCTGTCTCTACATTTTTGGAACTTGGCCCAGCAGAGGGAATCCTGTAAAACATCAAATAAGAGAAACACAAATATCAGTTTGGATCATTTCAGGCCCCAGTGTTTAACACAAGTGCAGTATTTACCTCCAGAGGGTCTTTATCAGGCCCTTATCTTCTTATTAACCACAGTAGATTCTGAAACACACATGAAAAACATGGTTTAACTCAGAGGAAATACTTTAGTGCAGTAAAACTGAACTCTTTTGTTTTAGTTTGAGCCTGAGTATGAACATGAGACGTATTTCACTGCTGTTAATACACAGTACTCGACTACATTTACTTTTACCACAACATTTCAAATATAATCATCAATTTATGATGGTGTTCATAGTCAATATCAGTGTAATATAGATGTGACACATTAGTGTTCATGTCAACATCTCTCACTGAAAGTCTGAAGCCCCGTCTCAAGTCCCAGAACAGAAAGTTAGAGACAAAGTCAGATCTGACTCCAAACTAAATCTTCACTGTCACAGAAATCATTAAAAGTACTGACTCCAGATCAGTGTGAAGAACAGAGTCCTGATGGAGACACTCAGCAGAAGGACAGAGTCCTGATGGAGACACTCAGCAGAAGGACAGAGTCCTGATGGAGACACTCAGCAGAAGAACAGACAGGTCCTGATGTCATCTGGGGAAAAACAACACAAGTTTTGGTTGGTTATTTAACGTTAGCTGTTATTAAAAGTTGTGCTTTTTATTACGTTACGTTATTGTATTATGGCACGTTGCGTTAAATTATTGTATTAAGGCAGTGACATGATGCACTTTAGTCTCAACTCAACAGTCAACACTCTAATCTACACAAATAATAATGACCTGTGGTTAAAAACACAACCAGATCAGACACCGGTGTCACCGTCGCTCCACAGCCGAAGGCAGAGCGCCGAGAGCGGCGTCCAGCCAGAACCGAGCCCGTTAAACACGACCAATGATCACGGAGCAGAATTACATTTCTGTGATCGTAAAAATATACAAGAATATAAGAAGTGTTATATAAAACTAGTATTTAGACTGGGATCTACCTCAAGAGATGGAGTTATCCTGACCCCTGACCTCACATCGTCTTCATCACGTCAGCTGCTCCTGTCCAGAACTTAAACACACACAGTCACACATGTAAACACACCACAATATAACGTTAACGTTATGTACATTAATCATGACTAATACAATGAACTTTTAAACTATTTCTTACAGTTAAATCCGCGGACAACAGGTGGATGTTGTTTCTTTCTCTCAGGTTCTGATAACGGCTCATGAGTCAGTGACGCGTCCGCGCAGCGAATCTGAACCGGTTTAGCCGCGGATCCGCGCACTGATAGAACAAATCTAAAAAGTGTTGTGTTAAAAGTGCGTTCACAGTGCGGATCTAAGATGATTTAACCGCAGATTGTCTCTGTAACAGCAGCTTATCCAAGGGTTAGGGTTAGCAACAGTCAGAAAGCGAATACGGAACAAATACGCAGCGGATCCGCAAAGCGGACGGACCGTGGGGCGGATTTGGCGGAGCGAAAGCGGATCCGCTGCGGATCCTGATGCTAGGATATTTATTGTAATAACAATAATGAACAATTAGCACTTAAAAACAATAAAAATACAATTAAAATAATAAATACTTGGCGAAACTCACGCAGCGAACCGTGACGTCAGCGGTGCTCTGAGCCAATCGGAGAGCCGCTCGTGCCGTTGCTCCGGTCGAACGGTAAGTGACTCTAAACTTTCCTAAAAACTGCTTTTTTAAACACACAAAACCGCGACATTTCTGCATCAAAACTCACTTTTCAGATCTTTACTCACGACTCGTAGCCGCAGTCGCAGTTTGGCCGCGTTTGATTCCACTTTTGTGACGTTTTGAGCTGAATTGTGACACGATCAGATGTTAGCTGTTAGCCGTTCGTAACATTAACGGTCCCGGGAACAAACTTCACTTTGGGATCAATAACTTCAAAATAATCTCAAAATAATCTCAAAATAACCTCAAAATAATCTCAAAATCTCAAAATAATCTCAAACTAACCTCAAAATAATCTCAAAATAATCTCAAAATAACTTCAAAATAATCTCAAAATAATCTCAAACTAACCTCAAAATAATCTCAAAATAACTTCAAAATAACGTAATCCATTAAATGACTTCACAATGAAATCACAATTATGTCCATCTACTGTTAGTGTCATATTGTATTAGTTAAGTCCTGGTTTAGTCCTGGTTCAGTCCTGGTTCAGTCCTGTTTTAGTCCTGGTTTAGTCCTGTTTTAGTCCTGGTTTAGTCCTGGTTTAGTCCTGTTTCAGTCCTGGTTTAGACCTGGTTTAATCGTGGTTTAGTCCTGGTTTTAGTTCTGTTTCAGTCCTGTTTTAGACCTGGTTTAGTCCTGGTTTAGTCCTGTTTTAGTCCTGTTTCAGTCCTGGTTTAGTCCTGTTTCAGTCCTGGTTTAGACCTGGTTTAATCGTGGTTTAGTCCTGGTTTTAGTTCTGTTTCAGTCCTGTTTTAGACCTGTTTAGTCCTGGTTTAGACCTGTTTCAGTCCTGGTTTAGTCCTGTTTTAGTCCTGTTTCAGTCCTGGTTTAGTCCTGGTTTAGTCCTGTTTTAGACCTGGTTTAGTCGTGGTTTAGTCCTGGTTTTAGTCCTGCTTTAGTCCTGGTTCAGTCCTGGTTTTAGTTCTGTTTCAGTCCTGTTTTAGTCCTGGTTTAGTCCTGGTTTAGTCCTGGTTTTAGTCCTGCTTCAGTCCTGGTTTAGTCCTGGTTTTAGTTCTGTTTCAGTCCTGTTTTAGTCCTGTTTTAGTCCTGGTTTAGTCCTGGTTTTAGTTCTGTTTCAGTCCTGTTTTAGTCCTGGTTTTAGTTCTGTTTCAGTCCTGTTTTAGTCCTGCTTTAGTCCTGCTTTAGTCCTGGTTTAGTCCTGGTTTAGTCCTGCTTTAGTCCTGGTTTAGTCCTGGTTTAGTCCTGGTTTTAGTCCTGGTTTTAGTCCTGTTTCCTGTTTCAGTCCTGGTTTAGTCCTGGTTTAGCCCAAAATGTGAAAACAGGAAAATACCACCATGTAATCCATTTATTTCAAGAAAGTAACTGTAATCCAATTACCACTCACTGAAACAGTAACTGTAACTGAATACAGTTACTCGTCATTTGTACTCTGATTACATAACTCCAGTACATGTAATCTGTTACTCCACTACACTGGCAGAGACACCGGGACACTCATGTCCACGTCACATGATCCAGTGCACACAGTGTCCCGGTTTCTTCACATAATCTTACAAATGCACAAAAAAATGAACTGAACCCAATTTAATAAACCAGGAAAAGTACAAACCGTGAGCTTGAATCTGCTCCAGGAGTTTGACCTTAAATCATGTCAAATTATTATTATTATTATTATTATTATTATTATTATATTATTGTTATTATTATTATTATTATTGTTATTATTATTATTATTATCATCATTATATTTTAAAGGATAAAAGAATAACAGGAGTGTGTTGGTTTTACAGCATCTGCTCCAGAATGAACAACAGACGCCGCAGGACATGGTGAGTCTGACCTGACTCCACCTGACCTGACTCAACCTGACCTGACTCAGCCTGACCTGACTCAGTTTGACCTGACTCAACCTGACCTGACTCAGCCTGACCTGACTCAGTCTGACCTGAGTGACCTGAGTGAGTGGCTCTGCTTGTGTCTCTTGTCTAAACAGGTTTTTATTTTGTCACAGTGTGAAGAAGCGTTTGGTTGGTCCCAAAAGCTACGGACAAGCCCAGACCCAGAACCAGACCCAGAACCAGACCCAGAACCAGACCACATGGACCAAACACGAGGTAAAGACCCAGACCCAGACCCAGAACCAGACCCAGACCCAGAACCAGACCACATGGACCAAACACGAGGTACAGACCCAGAACCAGACCCAGAACCAGAACCAGAACCAGACCACATGGACCAAACACGAGGTAAAGACCCAGACACACCCCCTGTGTCTGTGTGTGTGTGTGTGTGTGTGTGTCTGTGTGTGTGTGTGTGTGTGTGTGTCTGTGTGTGTGTGTGTGTGTCTGTGTGTGTGTGTGTGTGTGTGTGTGTGTGTGTGTGTGTGTGTCTGTGTGTGTCTGTGTGTGTGTGTGTGTGTCTGTGTGTGTGTGTGTGTGTCTGTGTGTGTCTGTGTGTGTGTGTCTGTGTGTTTTGTGTGTGTGTGTGTGTGTCTGTGTCTCTGTGTGTGTGTGTGTGTCTGTGTGTGTGTCTCTGTGTCTCTGTGTGTGTGTGTGTGTCTGTGTGTGTGTGTGTGTCTGTGTGTGTGTCTGTGTGTGTGTGGTGTGTGTGTGTGTGTGTTGCTGTGTGTGTGTTTGTCTCTGTGTGTGTGTGTGTGTGTGTGTGTGTGTGTCTGTGTGTGTGTGTGTGTGTGTGTGTGTGTGTGTGTTTGTCTCTGTGTGTGTGTGTGTGTCTGTGTGTTTCTCTGTGTGTGTCTGTGTGCATGTCTCTCTGTGTGTGTTTGTGTCTGTGTGTGTCTGTGTGTGTGTGTGTGTTCTGTGTGTGTGTATGTCTCTGTGTGTATGTCTCTGTGTGTGTGTGTCTCTGTGTTTATGTGTCTCTGTGTGTATGTTTCTGTGTGTATGTGTCTCTGTGTTTATGTGCCTCTGTGTTTATGTGTCTCTGTGTGTATGTTTCTGTGTGTATGTGTCTCTGTGTGTATGTCTCTCTGTGTGTATGTGTGTGTGTGTATGTCTGTGTGTGTGTGTGTGTGTGTGTGTATGTCTCTGTGTGTATGTCTGTGTGTGTGTGTGTCTCTGTGTGTGTATGTCTCTGTGTGTGTGTATGTCTCTGTGTGTGTGTGTGTGTGTCTGTGTTTATGTGTCTCTGTGTGTATGTTTCTGTGTGTATGTTTCTGTGTGTATGTTTCTGTGTGTGTATGTGTCTCTGTGTTATGTGTCTCTGTGTGTATGTTTCTGTGTGTATGTTTCTCTGTGTGTATGTTTCTGTGTGTATGTTCTCTGTGTGTATGTATGTTCTGTGTGTATGTGTCTCTGTGTGTATGTTTCTGTGTGTATGTGTCTCTGTGTGTATGTGTCTCTGTGTTATGTGTCTGTGTGTGTGTGTGTATGTCTCTGTGTGTGTGTGTGTCTCTGTGTGTGTGTATGTCTGTGTGTGTGTGTGTATGTCTCTGTGTGTATGTGTCTCTGTGTGTATGTCTCTGTGTGTATGTGTCTGTGTGTGTATGTGTCTCTGTGTATATGTCTCTCTGTGTGTGTGTATGTCTCTGTGTGTATGTGTCTCTGTGTGTATGTCTCTGTGTGTTATGTGTCTCTGTGTGTATGTGTCTCTGTGTATATGTCTCTCTGTGTGTATGTCTGTGTGTGTGTGTATGTCTCTGTGTGTGTATGTCTCTGTGTGTGTGTATGTCTCTGTGTGTGTGTCTCTGTGTGTATGTCTCTGTGTTTATGTGTCTGTGTGTGTGTATGTCTCTGTGTGTGTATGTCTTGTGTGTGTATGTCTCTGTGTGTGTTGTGTGTGTATGTCTCTGTGTGTATGTGTCTCTGTGTGTGATGTGTCTGTGTGTGTGTGTGTGTGTCTGTGTGTGTGTGCTCTGTGTGTATGTTTCTGTGTGTATGTGTCTCTGTGTGTATGTTTCTGTGTGTATGTGTCTCTGTGTGTATGTTTCTGTGTGTATGTGTCTCTGTGTGTATGTGTCTCTGTGTTTATGTGTCTCTGTGTGTGTATGTCTCTGTGTGTGTTCTGTGTGTATGTCTCTGTGTGTGTGTGTCTCTGTGTTTATGTGTCTCTGTGTGTATGTTTCTGTGTGTATGTGTCTCTGTGTGTATGTGTCTCTGTGTTTATGTGTCTCTGTGTGTGTGTCAGGGTCAGAGGACTGAGTCTGAGTGTCGGCGTCGATGGAATCAGGTGAAGAATCAAGAGCTGGTGAAGGGACCCTGGACCCACGAGGAGGATCAGAAGGTAAACCAGACCAGGACCAGACCCGGACCAGACCAAGACCAAGACCAGACCAGGACCAGACCAGGACCAGACCAAGACCAAGACCAGACCAGGACCAGACCAGACCAGGCCAGACCAGGACCAGACCAGGACCAGGACCANAGCTCGTGTGTAGATTTCAGAAAACAGGATCCATCCTTTTTTTTGACACTCTACGTGAACATAGGCGCGTATCCCTGTCAAAATACACAGAGCATGAATCTATTGTTGTATTTGTGCGTTTACCATCAGCACATCGTGCTCCTGGGGCAGTTCTGTATCGTGTGAAAGAGTCCAGCTCCACATAAATTGTTAATTAGTGCTTTGAAATTAACTTTTGAAATCCTTGAGTTTGCCGTGGTGAGTCTGTACAGAAGGTAAATACAAGCAGCTAAACGCGCCCTGTCAAGTTTGATCGACTTTCCCACTGAGAAACACAAGAGTCAGTACGTTCCACTAGAGCTGTCGGTGGAGTCGCCTTCGCTTTGACGCGTAGCTGTGGTTTCGTGAGTTTAACTGCGAGCAGATCGTCACTCAAAAGGTGAAAACAAATTCCGATGTTTAATTGAACCCAGCAGTGACGTACGTCGTTCATCTCACATCATTTCAACAAATTCACGTTCAAGTTCTTGATTTACAGAAGTGTTTTGCGTTCAGTTCAAAGTTCGCTGAAAAATGAACGTGTTCAATGAACTTTTGAACTCGTTCATGCACAACACTGTTGTGTCCACATGAGTGTAATGCTGTGTCTTTAGGCTGTCTGGATGTCTGGTCTCAGAGAGGGGCGGGGCTGCTCTGGCCTCAGCTCTGAGCTCCGCCCCCTCCCACCTCAGAAGAGTTCGACCTGAGCTACAACCATCCAGGACCCTCCGCCGAGCTCCTGACCGCTCTACAGGACCAGCGCCCCCTGCTGTCTGTCAGGTGAGACTGCACTGGTGTTGGTCTCTGGTCCTGGTCTGGTCCTGGTCTGGTCCTGGTCTGGTCCTGGTCTGGTCTAAACTGGACTTGTGTGTTTCAGGTTGGATCCTGCTGGAGAGCGCTGGATGGTTCCAGGTCTGAGGAAGTGTGAGTTTGTTTTGTTTCCTTCACACAGTAAAGTGCAGAGAACAGCTCAGGTCATTCACTCAGGTCATTCACTCAGGTCATTCACTCTGTTTCAAATGGTTCAAAGTTCACCCAGTTTTCCTTCATTGGACCATTTTAGTAAAAAATAAAAGACTGAGGTGAAGTGTTTGTGTTTCAGACTCCTGTGACGTTTCTCTGGACCCAAACTCAGCTCACAGACTTCTGCTTCTGTCTGAGGACCATCGGACTGTGACACAAATGAAGGAGGAGCAGGAGTATCCAGATCATGAGGACAGGTTCACAGACTGGAGACAGGTCCTGAGCTGCACTGGCCTGAGGGGGCGCTGTTTCTGGGAGGTGAAGTGGAGCGGGAGGGTGGAAATAGCTGTGAGTTACGGAGGGATTGGACGGAGAGGACGGGAACTGGATAATGTGTTTGGATTCAATGATCAGTCCTGGTGTCTGTGGATCTATGATGGTGGAGAGTACCGTGTCTATCACAACAGCAACACAACACGACTCCACCGCTTCTGTCACTCAGAGAGAGGGGGCGAGTTCTCGGGCAGAGTGGCCTTGTTCCTGGACTCTGAGGCTGGAGCTCTGTCCTTCTATGAGGTCTCCTCTGTTGGAGAACTGTTCCACCTCTGGACCTTCTCCTCGTCCTTCTCTGAGCCTCTGTTTCCAGGGTTTGCACTGAATGAAGAAGGTTCCTCTGTGACTCTGGTGAAAGAGACGAGACTAAACAGAAGAGAAACTGGACTTGTCCCACGATGACGACACAACAATGACAACCAATGATAAAGAGAAATAAGAACTAAATGGAGCTTCAGTGTCACTGCTGAAGTTTGATTTAGACTGAAATAAAAACTCAAAACCTAGAAACTGAACAAGACCAAAGCCACTGGACTGGGGACAGTTCTTCACTTTGGATCTAACTGTTTTGGACCAGAAAGTTCTGTTGGGTTTAGCTAAATCGGGGGGGGGGCAAGTGACTCTGTGGGGTATTAACTGTAACACATATACACACATGTTTAGATCACCATGTGCCTTTTATTGTTTTATAATTCTATATTCGCCCAAAACAATGTATTCACGTTTTATACATTTCACTTTTTGTATTTGTTGTGTAATGTCATCACAAACTGCTCGTGTTCAGCTGACAGGGGCTGACATTCCGATGTGCCTTGTTCCTTTAGTTGATGTTCTTGGTGTTTTCATTTGCCCTTTGTCGTGTCTGCTTGTGTTTTGGAGTTGTTCTTACAGTGTGTTGATGTTTTTTCGCATCCTGTGTGTCGTTCCTCTGAGCTTCTAAACCCTGTGTCCTCCTCTGGACTTTGTGGCTCCAGTGTCCGTGTCCATTTCGGATTTTGGCTGAATTTTTGTTATAATAAAGACCTTTAAGAGCAGTCGTGCGTTTTGGCTCCTCTCTTGGTTTTGTCGTGACACTTACAGCTTTGAAAAGGTCCGATTTTGTGGTGATTTTGGTGTGTTGGATTGTGTTGTATCGGTGTACTCACATGTGTTGGAGTGTGTTACAAACAAAACAACAGATACAAACAAAAACGTAAACAGTTCACATGAAAATAAAATAAATGCATATAAACCACAACAGTGAATAAAAACACATTCACATTAAAGGGGCAATTTCAAAGCTCTAATTTAAAGGAATAAATTCAAATTATTCAAAAAGGACAAATTATTCAAAAAGCAGCCTTTTTTTTCCTCAGTTCGGCCCAATGAGCAAACAAAAGTTCTCAGGTCATTCTTCAGGTGTGTTATGACTGGTTTTATCTAAAAAAACAAAACACACACACAAATTGAGACTTTTATTTTAATTAAAATTTGTATTTGTTTATTTTTATTTTATTTTATTTATTAATTATTATTATCATTATCATTATTATTATTATTATTAAATTCTTTATGTATTTATTTAGTTTTTAGGACGTCTGAGACATACGTACTTCCTCGTTTACAAAAGTGGAGGTCACGTGTTTCCGGTCTACGGGGCTCGCTTTGGAAACTTTAATGTCAAGGTGCGTTTTAATCGTTATTTCGTCATGTCACGTGTCGTAAACTATTCTGACTCATGTCGAAGTGCAGGAGCCATGTCCCGGTGCGGATCTGCGCACATCAGAGCATCGCACTCGATAAACGACGGGAGTGCGGAGTGTCGCTAGCGCTTAGCTTAGCATCCCCGTTCAGAACAGTGTGTTAGCCTAGCCTAGCCTAGCCTAGCCTCGTCCATTGGTTTGTATGGAGCTGTTAGCATGTTAGCCTGTTAGCCTGTTAGCATGAGACTTTCATTCCCGTTTTCTCCAAATGTGTTTTACTGATTTAAGTGCATTTAATGTCGAGTGTTTACTGGACCATCTGCTGCTTATTGACATACTGTTCATACATGTTGACGCATTTTTAGGACCAAACCTGACAGTTTAGTTTACATTCATTTTTTGTTGTTTATAATATTTTAAACTGGGTAACACTTTATAGTAACTACACCTTATTTATCCTTAAAAAAGCATAAGGCTTAATTAATAATGATTCACACTTAATAACTACTTAATTATTACCTTAATTAGCACTTGCAGTTAATTTACCTGTGCTGTAAATAGTTACTCATAATTATTACTAATATAATAATATTCAAAGCTTATTCAAAATGAGAGAACTTATCATTTTAGAGGGTTTGGACATTTCAATTTGCCTAACGTACGAACGACTCGTAAAAGTTTGTGTGTGTCTGTTTGTGGTGTAAAACTCTGGAACAGACTGGATCCACGTCTCAAGCAACGACAAAATATCCATAAATTCAAGTTGTTCTATAAACATCTGGTCTGGTCACAGTTTATGGAGAGTGGGTCAGAATATTAGAACAAAACTGCCTCTGTAGCGCTGCTTTATGTTTGTTGTCCATTACATGACTTGTATTTGTTGTTTCTTACCATTGTCTGTGTCCTGAACTTTACCTTTGTTGGTGCATTTATGTTCTACGACAAAACTATAACAGCAACTCTTTGTCTGCACTTGTAAATAGTTCATATAGTTTAATTCAAAATGTCTGAAAAACGCTAAATAAGATCATTGTGTTTGATTATGAAGAGTAGGGCTGGGATTAAATACGTTTTCTTCTTCCCACTCCTTTTTGGGCAAAATAGTAATAATAATAGTTATTAGTAGTTGTTGTTATTTTCATTTCTATTATGATTTCACTTATGTCATATGTTCCATTGTATATAAATGTAAATCTTTACTTGCCCAAAATAAATGCATAAAAAAAATTAAATTAAATTACTAGGGTTGGTATCATTAAGAAGTTGCCGATACGATACACACCTCGATACACAGGCCACGATACGATACATATCTCGATACAGTGCACTTTCGATTTGATATGATATATTTCAAATCGATTCGATACGGTTCAATAAAAAATAAAAGTGGCTGTGATTCGAAAAGTCTTTGTTAAATCACTTCTTCTTGTGCAAAGTTCATATGAAATGTCCTGTTTTAGTCCGGCTCTAGTCCTGATTTAGTCCTGGTTTAGTCCTGGTTTAGTCCTGTTGTTGTTGTTTTTTGTATGTGTTTACAAAACTTTTTATACATTTATAGAACAAAACAAAACAACACAAAACTGCAGACCACAGTAAAACTACATAATACTCAGAGCATTTAGTGTGAACAGTTCTTGAATAAAATAATAATGATCTAACTTCACAGTATCAACATGTCAAAACCAAGATACAAATCCACAGTCAAATACTTAGTGTTTTGGTGTAACCGGCCCATTTCCTCCAACACCTGTTACATTTGGCAGCAGAAAGTCTCAACGAAAATGTCTGTCTCTCCATTTTCATACATTTCATTACCTACTTTGATCCAGTCAGTAAAAACAATCAATCAATCAATCAACAACTTTATTAATCCCAAAGGGCAATTCAGTTGGCACATCTCTGGTCACGCACGATCTATAAATATAAATAATAAAGAAAAAGAAAGACAGACACTAGATGTTCGAACCACATGCATCAGGGACACAGGAACAAATTCACTTTCCGTTTAAAATCCTTATGGCAGAAGGAATAAAAGATTTGGCGTAACGGTTGGTCTTTTGCTGTGGGGTGACATAGCGCCTCCCAGAGGCATTTCCATGAACTGTGAGTGCAGAACATGGTTAGGTTCAGTTTGGCCTTAGTCTTTTGTAACACCCGATGTCTCCACATGGAGGCCAAATCCTCCGTCTGAACACCGCTGATTTTGCTGCAAACTTTTACAATCTGGTTCTCGTCTTTCACAGATAATCCATAAAACCAACAGATAAAAGAAAAGGTCAGCAAATTTTCAATAAAAGAATGATAAAAATTATTTAAAATATTAGACGACACATTAAAAGAGCTGAGCTTCCGCATCAAGTGAACCCGCTGCTGTCCTCGTTTGACGATGTGCTCAGTGTTCTTATCAAACCTTACAGAGGAATCAAACACAGTTCCCAAGTATTTATAAGAGTCGACCATTTCTATTGCTTCTCCGTGGATGGAACTGGCTATTGGGCTGTGGACTTTTTTCCGGAAGTCCACAACCATGTGCATTTTTACCAAACCTTTTTCCTGATAATGGCTTTTTTTTTTGCTCCAGCCAACAGTACTGACAAAAGATACTTATATGATTTCTGTAAATCCCAATGACAGGTCTAATCTGAATATACTTTGAATAACTTTTATCACCATCGTCCAGTAGGGTGCGATCATAGTACAGTCCCAAAATATGTGAAAATGCCCTGCTTTGACATCACCACGTCTCTCCAACATGGTTTAGTCCAAGAAATGTCCCAGGTGCTCCTATTCCTGACCAATTTGATCTAAACTCAAACTAAACCAGGACTACATCAGGTTTAATCCAGGACTATCACAATTTATGACTAGCCTGATCCCCGCCGACCATAAAGAGGAGCGTAAATTGTCATTTGTTTCGCCAAAATACAGGAATCCGTGTTTGCGAATGACCAAAGCAAAAAATAAATTAAAAATGCAGCGACAGAAGTTCCTCGGATCATGACCGACACGAGAACGCACAAAGTTCCACGCTCTCTTCACTATTTTATTCACACCAAACATCCAAACCCGAGCGTTTCCCAGTTTAGAAGTTTGAAAATCTGTTTTGAGACTTGACCTGCAGTGCGCACAACCGCCAGCAGAGGGCAGCCATAGAACTTAATCATTGTTGAACACGTTTACCATACACCACACCAACTGTATTTATTAGGGGTGTGCAGAAATATTGAAATATCGATATATATCGTATCGTTTAATGTGATGATACAGTATCGATATTGTGGGCTGCTGTATCGATATATCACCAAGAGTCAATTTTTGGTATATTTTACTAAATTATTTTGTTACAAAGCTACAGTTTTGTTTATTGTTTAGAGGAAGGAAACTCGTTTATTTGACATTTTCACTGTTTTAATGATTAAAATGTTTGTGTTTCATATGAACTTTGCACAAGAAGAAGTGGTTCAACAAAGACTTTAGTATCACAGCCACGATTTAGACATTATTTTTTATTGGACCGTATCGAACTGATTTGAAATATATCGTATTGAATTATATCAAATCGTAAGCTCACTGTATCGAGATATGTATCGTATCGTGGCTTATGTATCGCGATATGTATTGTATCGGCAAATTCTGAATGATACCCAGCCCTAGTATTTATAAAGCACTTTAAAAAGTTTACAGTAGGTCAAACTGCTGGACACAAATAAAAAAAAAAAAAAAGAACAACATACTCTTGGACAATGTCAAAATATATTTGTGTCACTGCATTGAGAAACTCTGTACTACACACACCCTCCCTATTTTTATTTTTTTTGTATTATTATTATTATTATTATTATTATCATCATCATATTTATTATTATTATTGTTATTATTTATTTTCTTATTTTATTTTTTTTAATTATTATTTTAATTTTTTTATTTTTTCTGTATGTGTGTTTAGTTAAGTCTGTCTTATTGTGGATGTGCTGGGTATCCAATCCCTTAAATTTGACAAATTATTAAAAAAAAAAAAAAAAAAAAAAGTAAATAAAAGAATTTTAAAATCAACTCTAAAAGACCCTGGGAGTCACTGGAGCGAGGCTAAACTAGGTGAGATGGTCTCGTGTTTCCGGGTCCCAGTTAAACTTATTATTAAATGTATTATTATTATTATTATTATTATTATTATTGTGCACATGGAGCCCTAACACTGGTCCTTTCCTTTTTTTTTTAAATCCAGGTCAAGACTCTTTTTTTTGTTTGTTATTATTATTATTATTATTTACTTATTTATTTTTATTTTTTTCTGTATGCGTGTTTAGTTCAGTCTGTCTTATTGTGGATGTGCTGGGTATCCAATCCGTTAA